ATGCTTGTATTCTGTTCTCTCCAGTAATGCTTGTAAAATCTGTTAAAGGATCATACTTTCCCGGTTCTTTCTTACCTAACAAGAGATAAGTTTAGAGAATCTCTAACCTTTGGAATGGAACAATTAGAAATTAATAGGAAGGTTAGATCATGATGGAAAACTTCAAGTTCCTCTGCAAGTGCTTATTCAACATTATATACCTTGTCGTATGGGTAAATAATGCTTTTTGTGTTATGCTGGTCATGTAAACTCCAATTTCTTCATGTCTTCTCTCACAGAAATCAATGTGCAAATAGAACACTCTGTGAGGAGAAACTTTCTTTGGTGCTTCCTGAAAGACCGCCCTATTTGCCAAGGCAGTTTGGCAGCTGTGCTGTCATTGGTAATTCTGGAGATCTATTGAAGACCAAATTTGGCAAGGAAATCGATGGTTATGATGCTGTTGTCAGGGAGAATGGAGCCCCAATCCAGGTTTGTATAGCTACCTTGTGGATTTTATCCACTTTTGTTGGTATTTTTGTGTTGTCAACTGGTTAATAAAGTGCTAGCTAATACATTCTATTGTTGTTGATCTGCAGAACTTTACAGAATATGTGGGTACAAAAAGTACATTTCGTCTTCTGAATAGAGGATCTGCCAAAGCCCTTGATAAAGTCGCAGAATTATATGGTATTTACTTTGTTCTGCTCTCTGCACGGGCCTTTTTGTTTTTATTTCCCTCTGCTATTTGCAACTAACTAAAGATTTTGACCATGCAGAGAGAGGAAAGGAGGTTCTCATAATCAAAACAACGATACATGACATCATGAACAAAATGATTCGGGTTTGTACATTTTCTCTTTCAATTAAAACAACTTCTGGTTTGACTTTCTAATATAAATAACATTGGAGTTGTCATCTGTGGAGGTGGATTTGGATGGAGGAATGCTGTTTATCTTTTAAACTTTAGGGGTCTGATGTCACATGAGGAATAATTTATGTATGGGACAAATGGCATGCGATTGTGATGTGACTAATTATATTTAAGTGTATGTGTGGGACTAATGCATGTGACTGATTAATAAATACACTTTGAGTAAAGGTGCTGTTCTTGTTATGAGAACTAATTAGCTTGAGTATAATGATGGCAGCTGTGCTACCTAAAAGAAGACGAATGTCAAGTTCTTCAATTATGAGAATCTTGACAATGATGGTATTGACTACCAATTGTTTGTTGAAGTGGTTTATATCTTAAAAGGACTCAGGTTTTCTGAGGAAGTAACCTTCTGAAAGATGCCCTAGAAAATGATAAAGCTATTTGACATTATGGATTTGATGTTTTGCCCTCTGGAAATTTTTTATGATTGGAATATGTTTGATATCATGACTGTAAAGTTAAAGTGTCTTTAAGATGCCAATCTTACAGATTATAAAGAACAGTGAAAGTCACACAACGAGATGTTTGTGTACATTAATTTCTGCATTTGTACAAGGTGGATGAATGGATTGCATTTTTAATTTCTCTTATCTAATTTTGCATTTTTAAATGGAATAATTCTTTTAAGGAGAGGGATACGAATGGAAAGGCTAGTTTTCACATATGATCAATTAACTTTTGATAATATAATTGTCCATTTTCATGTTTATTTTGCTGGAATCCTCTTTCGCTGGTCCTTTTTTTTTCTTGGAACCTATCCTTCCAAATTCATATCATGTTAACAACTTGCTTGATGAGAAAAGTATAGCAGTCAATAACTTGACGTCTTGGACTTTGCCCCTTGTCCTGTTACGCCCTAATATGCTCTCAGTTTTTTCGGTTTTTGTGATCTATAGGAAGTTCCAATTCTCAACCCAATATATCTCATGTTGGGTGCATCCTTTGGTTCAGCAGCAAAAGGTACAGGGCTGAAGGCACTCGAATTTGCACTCTCCATCTGTGATAGTGTAGACATGTATGGTTTTACTGTTGATCCTGGCTATAAAGAGTGGTATGTTGTGACTGAGACACTTGTAAGAGTGGAATTTGGTAGTTCATTGATTTTTAACAATCGTAAGATAGTATTAACTCATGAGTATATCAAACTTCATTTTAGGACGCGATATTTCTCCGAGTCTCGACAAGGTCATACTCCTCTCCAGGGCAGGGCTTATTACCAAATGATGGAATGTCTGGGAGTAAGTCTATAGATTCTTTATCTTTCTAAATTCGAGTTCTTTTCCCTCCAAGTAAAGAATTGCCTTAAGACAATCAAACTGATTTGAGATATGTTTTAATTTTCAAGCTTTTGCAATATAGACTTCATATATGTATCATATGTAGTTATTCTGTTTACTTTTGCCAATAGTGTGTGGTCTGTGAATTAAAATGCGTGAATGCCAAACAACACTGGGCAAAGTGAATCATTCTCCAGGGAAAACTGCTTGCTTGGAAGATGAACATGATTACCAGAATCATATCTATCACTCTGTCATGCTTTAATGTGTGTTTCTCGAGGATATTCCTTTGTTGATCACTTCCATTTTTTTTTTATGTAAGCTTATCAGAATTCATTCACCAATGCGTGCCGATCCTAATCGTGCTGTGAAGTGGGTACCAGACCGTAGATTAATACTTGCTGCCAGAATTGCATCAGAGAAACTATTGAGGTAACCTAACTTTCAGTTGTTTCCTTCTCTTTATCATCTCTATGGTTAGTTTTTGCAGTTGAACCTTTTCTTCTATCTTTCATAGTTTTAGGACTTGTTGGAAGAAAATGATGGAAGGCATCAGCATTTTTCTTGTTAAATGGCTCTCTACGGGCCTTTTGCTATTTGTCTGACAAGGTCTGTGCTAATACTTTCAATATACTAGGGGTGCTGACAACGGAAAGTTTGTTACTGGTTTAGGGTGTATGCTCTGTATTATGTGCCAAGGATCCTTATTATATTTCCCTTCTTTCACCATTTTCTCTAGTTACATTAGGTTTAATGCTATCAACCATGGAACTCAGTTGGATCTCTTTGAATGCCTATACCCTCTTGTTTCTCTACTTCTTTCATTACAAATCAAATGCTTTCAAACTAGTTATTGCAGCAGTTCTGTAATTCAGCATATTGCTCATGTGAATAGGAGGGTTGGGGCAGGATCTGGAGATCCACTCTCTGGGTGTTCCATTATCAAGAAGCAATCATCAAGAAAGGCTACAAGGGATTTGAGCATAAGAAGTGCAGTAATTGAGCATCAAAAATATGCAAAAGCTACCACTATGTATCCTTTGGAACATAATCCAGGACATGGTCTGCTTTGCACAGTTCCAAGAGATTGAGTTCATTGGTTGACTTCTGCGTATCAGGCTTTGACAACGCTGCATGAGATTTGGATGGTCAGGAAAATGAACTACCTGTTCTTTTACAGGCTGCAGAAGTGAAACTGCCATGTTCGCTTATTTTTCATGGCACTCTCCCACTACCGCTAGTTGATAATGCAGATCATTTTGGTCAGTGAAATGCAGATTGTTTTGCTGTGGAGAGAATTTCGATGATTAGAGGGAAGGATATGATGAACGTTGGTGGCTACTGCTTCAGTTTTGGCGCTTGATTTCTGTTGCACTGGTTGTTACAGGTTTGATACTTATACCCTTATTCGTCCATTGTTTCCTTAGCATAGCCGGTTCATTGCAACTAATACGAACAGCCTGACATGTAGAACTCACACTTGCGGATGTCACAGTACTATCTTAAATGTACACTGCCCTTAGTTCCCGATGTGGATTTTTATTTTGTTGGATTGGTCAAAGGTTGAATGTTTAATTACTGCCTTGGGATTTTAGTTTCATGGATTAGATCTCACCTTCCCCTTTGATCAAATTGAAGGCAAATTATAGGCTCTCACTCGACGCTATCTGATTCAATCGCGGATTACAAAGGGGGAGTTGTTTACTTGCCAATGGATTTGCTTGTAGCTGTCAAAGCAATAAAAACTTGAAAATGTAGTCCAAAGCAATTGTACGAGCACACAGCAAAACATTATTGATTCTAGAGCAGGTTTACTACTTCTCTGGGGGGAAAAATAAACCATAAAGGGCCTAAACCAATACCACCTGGCTGAAACTGCAGGGATTATCAGCGACTGGGAAAATCTTCAATTGAACATACAAGAATTGGAACTTTAACGTGACTTGATGGAATCAAATTTCTACTCGAACTCAGCTACTTTGTACATTTCTTTTCCTACGCGGTTATGCTTATAAGCCCTTGTAAAGTTTTTTTTTTTTTTTCTTTTTCCTAGTCGCAATGGTAATATTTGTTTAAGCTACTTTAACCTAACCTAGGAAGAAAGTGAACCTAACCAGGAAGCCATTTGAAAGTGACAGTCACAATTAAGTGGTTTTAAAGTCTTGACCTCCCACCTCTGTCAAGGCTTTAAAGTCTTAATGGTTACCAAGAACCCAAGAAGTTGTTGATTTTATAAGTCCTTGTAAATTTACCCAACATCAAGATTGATATAAGCTATAGTGAAATAATCGCAAGCAAGTTCTATGTTTGGATAGCTCAAATTTGTCAAATAATATTTCGTTTACATCATAAATATATTTTTTAATTTATCTTTTTATATTTATAATTATTTTTTTTAATTTTATATACATCACATCATAAAAAATATTATAATAATTATTTCAAATAATGCATTGTTCAAACACACATGTGCAAGAATCCAGTACCAACCTGTCACCCTTATTATTCCCTCAATCAGTTAATTGGAGAAAATTAAGAATTTACAACATTCATTCTCTCACTCCATTTAACTCTCGGGGTCGATCCAGCGGTTGGGGAGAAATTTTAAGGTAGCAAAAGGGGCTCAGAAGAAGGCTGTAAGAGGCTAAAAAAATAAAAAAAAAAAATTTCTTTCACAATCATTCATTCTTATCCCCACTCTTCAAGAGCACGCACGTGTCATCCGCCCCTTTACCAAAGCTTACTGAACAATAATTACATCACCACTCCCACTATAAATACGAATAAAACACTGTACATCATTCAATTAACATTAAAACCTCAGGCGGCCCAATACATCTCTTTCCTCTTTGAACTCTCTCTTTCTCACAATCTCAGCTGCATAACTCCCTCTTCAAACTACCGGTAGTTGTTACTTTTCACCTTTCCGATTTCTTCACTTTTTCCACAAATCCCAATTAAATTAATCAAACCCCAGAACCCCAGTCCTATACAGTTTAATCTAAAGTCAACATTTTCCTGGAGTAGTATATTTTATGCAGAGATTAGGGAGGCTGAAGAGTTAATTTTATAGGTGAGAATAATGGCCGAGCTAAACCCACTTGACGGACAAATTAACGGCGGCGGCGGCGGAGGAGGAGGAGCAGGAAATGGGGAGACGATGGTGGGGACGGCGACGAAGAGGCAGAGAAGGCCGAGTGTGAGATTAGGCGACATTGGAGGCGACCCACCACTGGCGGCCTATGAACACCTGCACCAGCAACATAGGAGGGCCTCATCCAAGCAGCAGCTGCAGTATCAATGGAAGCAGCAGCAGCAGAAAGGTTCGAGATTGAGAAATAATGAAACCCTAGCGGTGGATAAGAATGGGATTAGCAATAGCGAAGATGGGATTGAGGGTTTTGTTAATGAAGGCGAGGAAGGTAATGAAGGGGATATGGATTTGGATAGGGTTGCTATTGGGAGCTGGAAAACTTTTCGGGATTCGTCGATGAAATCGAAGAGGGGGAGAGGGGGTTCTATTAGGAAGAGGGTTAGGTCGAATTGGGTTTCGTCTAAAGTTGATGAAAGTGGGAAATTATTGACCAGTGGAGGTGAAGGGGAAGGGGATGGGGAAGAGGGTTTTCATTTGGACAATGATGATGGGATGGATAGGGATTTTGCACGTGAAAACTCTGATGAGGAGGTGGACAGAAATGAGAGCCCAATTCGTTCTTTTGAGAATAATGATGCGGATATTGATGTGGATAGAGAAAGAGGGTTTTTGAAAGTAGGGGAGAAAAACAGGAGAGTGACTACTAGGGTTTCTGATGAAATGGAGGGGCCTAGTGATTCGGTAGAGAGAAATGGAGTGAAGGCTTGGTTGAACCAGTTGGGCTTAGGGAGATATGCCCCAGTTTTCGAGATTCATGAGGTGGATGATGAGGTTTTGCCAATGTTGACACTGGAGGATTTGAAGGATATGGGAATTAATGCTGTTGGGACGCGGAGGAAAATGTATTGCTCAATTCAGAAGCTCAATAAGGGATTCTCCTAGATGATGAAGTTTCTGGCATGTGGAAAGAGAAGATTTAGCATCAAGAGTTTACTAGGAGGGTTGGGCGGTCAGCAACCATTTGGGGGTATCTTCTTTGCAGCCTAACATAATAGTTTTGCAGAATTATGGTTTTTGTTTTATGAATTTCCCTAGATTTTGTGTTTTTTTTCTAATCGATGTCCGCTCATGGTATATATTGTTCTAGTTAGTCTTGACTTTGCTGAGGTAGTTCATAGTTAAGAGTATGCCAATAACTGTTTAACCGCAAGGTCAAACTGAGTGATGATAGATTTATGTGATAATAGTTGCTGTAACTTCTGTGATGAGACTCTCTTTTGCTTCAACAAAATTCTCCTCTCTTTTTATGGCTTTTTCTTCTGAACTAGTGCTTGTGATGGCTTTTTCTTCTGAACTAGTGCGTGTCCTCTGCATTATGCGTATTGTTCAACTTAAGTATGCTTTATGTTGCTAATCTTTTTATTTCATACTTAAGCACTAGAAACGAGTACCTTTAATGCATATATATATAGTAATCTTTGATTGAAAGTAATATGATTGAGATTGGGCCAGAATTAATAGCATCTTGAACTATTGTCATTTTCCGGTTTGTAGTCACATTATGACCACAGCAGTGTAGGCCAGAATATTTCAAGATTATGACTTGCGCAAGTTGATGAGCAAGTTCTCCCCTCCCCCACAACAACAAAAAAAAAAAAAAAAAACACACACACACACACACACACAAAACTTACAAACTTGTCTGCAGTAAAGAAGCTCACAAAGAGTCCTCTTCTTACTTGGCTCAGCTAGCGGCTGCTTGTCTGCTTTTAAGTGGTTCAGTTTCAGTTTCTTTGTGATTGTTGTGTGCACCACACTTAGGAGAATAATTTGGCTTGAAGATCAGGTTGCAATTTATTGCTACCAAAATGAATGAGGTGCCTTCTATGATTTTCTGTCGTAATTAGAATTTGGTTGCTCTGTGGGCAACATAAGCTGGAAATCAAATTTAGAGAGAATAAAACGTCCGCAATCTATTCTATTCTAGTGAGGGAGCCTAATTTTCATGTCCACTAGTTATAACAGAGCAAATGACTAGGCTCTAGGGATGTTTAAGGGATGTTTACCTGCTTAAGGGATGTTTAGCCTTGGACTAGGCTCTACAGATTTGTGATGAGTTGAGAAAACTGGGGATATAAATTGAAAGCCTTATTGTTTTTCCCTATAACCCGGTTCATTGTGCTGGTGCATGAGTGTGGGGTGTACTTATGATTGGATTCCTCTGATATTGAAGCCTGAAAGTATCCACGGCCAATAGACCTAACGAGTACAAAATTTTGTACATAGATGAGTTTTATTGGACCTTCCTAGACTCGACAATTATTTGCTTTTGGCTACTAAATGGCGCTAATATGATCTTTGTGAGTTGGGATTGGTGTTAATATTTTGGAGCATTCTTGCATTACTGTTGCCTAAATTTCTGGTATGCGTTTCTCTTGTGACAAGGGAAGAAAAAGAGATTCAAAAAAAAAAAATTTGTTTGTATATGAATGAGTGCCTTCAAACCTCCTCATAGCCTCTTCAGTTCTGCTTAGATATGCATGTCTAGATTTGGCTGCTTTTTAAGGTATTCTTCTATCGATGCATCGTATTCCAGTTACCATCTGGTTACAGTTTTTAAATCTCATTGTGGCTTTTTAACAATGTGTTCTTGATGAACCGAAATTTGGGCACTTTATTGCTTGAACAAAAGATTGTGAACCCAGGTAATAATAATTTTGCTTGCGTTGGTGTTTCAATCCGGAGACGTGATTCTTTCTCTTTTGAGAGACTTTGAGCAAAGAAAGGCTGTACATGCAACACCAATAAAGATCCATCATCTAAACGTTTTCATGCTCAGCACATGGAACAATACTTGTTTGCATGTGTTGTGTCTGCACATGCACATTTGTTTTGTTTACAAATTGCAAGCATCATCCATCATACATACATACGTCTACTTATTGCTACTATTCTCACACGTGATACTGTAGTTATTTTCCAGAATATTAATTAAGAACGTGGACGGGGTACCAATTTTAGACAACAATAGAAAAGACCTGAAAGTCTGGTCCCAGATAAAAATGTGTTATGTTTCTGGTGACTCGAGTCATCTACTGAAGCCATTCGAATCAAAATTCTACATCATCCCTTAAAGATTGGCAACCAAGCGATTGATAAAGAGTTTTTTTGGAAACGTACGATATGTGGACATTTTCTTACTGTTTTTCTTACAAAAAGCCAATAGTAAATTTGAACAGTAATGTTTTAACATTAGCATGATTTCGATCTCCCAAGAAAGCTACTTAAGAGTGTGTCTATGATCCAGGTCTGAACTCGCACAAGAACTGAAACACACTAGCCAAAGTATCATCTGGACGTACCGCCAATTATAGCAATACATAACCTGCGTATTTAATCTTAAAGTAACACTGTTGTACTCCAAAAAAAAAAAAAGAAAAAGAAAAAACTAACCAAAAGTACAACTTGAACATCCGACATGAAAAGATACGGACCCTGTACACACAAATAGACAAAATTTAGCACCTCACACGAAGGTATCACTTATCAGCCAATCATAAATCGTGGTAGCCAGCACTGCGGAGAGCAATTGTAGAGCTCCTTCGCCCCCTCACTCTAACTTAACTCTGCCATCATCTTGCTGTTGTTTATCGGGTTCGGCGGGGAAGTATTTAATGCCTATTAGATCTCCTACTTTGCTGAAAACCTTTTTCCAAACAAAAAAAGGACAAATGAGTTTTCCGTATAGGATTTAGATACGTAAATCCGGTACACTGCAATTTAGCATCATAATATTGCCACATATTTTGATCCATCCACAATAATTTTGCAAATTAAAGGAATAAATGCTTTAAGAGTTAAAACTTTTAAAGCAGGTGCAAAAACACACGTGAAGGGACCGGGGACAAAAGAAAGAGATGATAGTAGATACTTCTAAGGCCACGACAGCCCTCCCAAAAAGAAAAAAAAAAAAACCTGTAAATGAGGTGCCCTATCGTCCTAGGTACAGGTGCAGGTATTAATAGTGCTAAATCAAAAGAATATAAATCTCAGAGATAGGGCCCCTACCTCTAAGGCTTTGATGAGATCTTCCCGTGTGTGTGAAGCAGAAATACAGATGCGAGCTCTAGCCAACAGCAAAGGTGTAGCTGGAAACGCAACCGTAACAACAGCCACCTGCAATAACAGAAAGTGCAAATAAGAACAAATATGGCCAGTAAAGCAAATTGGACAATCACAAAACAAGTGGCATTCCCATTGAAACTGTTATGTTGCTGCAATTCAAAACCTCCATTACAAATGTCAAAAGTTACACAATAAACCAAGGCGAAAAGGACAAAAAACCCTACCTGATTCTTGAGACACTCCCGTGAAAAAGCAGGTATTTTTGCCGGATTGTAGAGCATTACAGGCATTACAGGAGAATCATTATCTCCCAAAACCTCAAATCCCATTTTCTGTAGTTCAGAACGGAAAAAGTTGCTATTCTCGCGTATTCTTGCTAGCTTTTGAGCGCCTACAAGAGCCATGACAACATTAATGCAGTTACCAAAAATAAATATGGCCAGATGCAACAAGCTTGAGAAGACAATAGATATGATCCAGCGCAGGAAAGTCTCCTACCTCTGCTAGTACCATCCTCCCCAAGGATGACCCTTATGGCAGAAATAATTTGTTGGGCAGCTGGAGGAGAAATCGATGTAGCATACAGATGAGCAGGGCAAGAATACTTCATATATTGAATAAGTTCCTACAAGTACAACATGAAATGTTAGCCTTCATAAAAAGGAAACCTGCTACACAGTAAATAATATTTGCACCAACCAGTGCAAAATAATACAATGAGATATTGCCCGAAGACTGAAAACTTGCTTTTTCTAATAATGCTACAAAACCATGGAAAGCATAATTTAGGACAATAAGACTCAATCTTGTTCAACAAAATTATATCAATCCTCTTCCATGGTCTAACTCTGTTCATTTCGACAACTACGTTAAAACACAGTCGTCATCAAGAATCATTCACGATGCAATTGTGATTTATTTTGTGCCCTCTGGGAGGTTGATGTGCATGTGGCAGGTTAATTCTTCAATGAAGTGAAATTTGTTCTCACAAACACTGCGTGCGAAGTTATAGATCTCTATCAGAATGATGCTCAAAACCAACCTTAGACCCTGCAATATAACCACCACATGACCCAAACGATTTTGTGAAAGTTCCCATCAAAATATCCACATCTGCTGTATCAACTCCCAATAGCTCACAAACACCCCTCCCTGTTTTGCCAATTGCCCCAATGCTGTGAGCCTCATCCAAGTAAACATACGCCTGAAAGAGTATTGAGTTAGAAACAAAGAGTAAAAAATTGACCCTTGGCCTAGAAACAAAGAGTAGAACAAATTTGACTGTCAGTAAAACTGATAATATAAGAGAATCAGAAAGCAAGAAGATGAAATACTATACAATTAACCATATGAAAGAGAAATTAAAAAAACAAAGGCTAGTATAGATGGAGATGCAATTAAAAGAAGTTCTCAACCAATCACGAAAAAAGAATGTGATGCAACAAATAGAAAAACAAGAAAACAGAAACAAACTAGAACAGATCTCTTTCGATGAACCAGAAGATTTATATTATTGACAAGCCACATCTCTACTTCTTGATAACTTTATTGGGTAGAAAAATTTTCTAATCAATTCCTTGTAAAAGTTTTTTTTTTCTCCAGATAACGGACTTGTTTACGCCAAGACAATGCAAGACTTCTCATGCCTCGTTCTACCTAGAGCACAAAATCTCAAACAAGAGTTCCATCAAAAAGATGCATTACCCTATACTTTTTGCATATGGCAACAATCTCTGGAAGTTTGCAGAGTTCCCCTTCCATGCTGTATATTCCCTCCACTAAAACCATAATCTTTTTCCAAGGTCTATGTGTCCTTGGTTGCCCCTCAGCAATTTGTTCTCTTAGGACTTTCTCCAGATGGTCAGGCACTATAGAACGTATGGCATAAAAATATATTCTATATTAGCATGCAGTACAAAAAGAAAAACAAAAGGTGCCCACAGAAACTTACTATTATGTTGGAAAACACGAACGGTGGCCCCTGACCCTCGAGCACCATTGACTATGGAATTGTGGTTAAGAGAATCACTGATAATCAAGCCTCCCTGTGAGTAAGCATGTTAATTGTGAGGACACAAAAGAGCACAAAACATATAACTGCATCTTACAGAAGACAGAAGACAGAAAGTACCATTTTTAAGAAAATTGTTATACCTTCCCAATCAAGGCAGGGAGAACAGCTGAGTTTGTTACGTAACCCATACCGAAAACAATAGCAGCTGGCTTTCCAACAAAATTTGCCACAACCTCTTCCAATTCATTGTGAAGCGTTGTTGTACCTGATCATGAAAATTCATTAGTTAAAGAACATGGACCGGAGCTATCACCCTTTTCAACAGGGATGAAGATTGCAAATTAGCATGCCTACCTCCATCAACACGAGTACTACAGGTGCTTGGGGAAAATCTCTTCAGAGATTCAATCACACGGGGGGTGCAGTATTCATCTGCTGCAGCAAACCCGAGGTAGTTATATGATCCCAAGTTAAGGCATCTACTAATTTTTGCGGTCCGCCTGCACAAGATGCATTTGGTTGGTG